TACAGTGCTCTGGAGACACAGTCAGTACTCAGATATTTCCTGAATAAGCATAGAAAAAACACCCTATTCCTGGCATCCTAGTTTTGAGGTCAAAAATACTAAAAGTTAAAGCTCCAGACCAGAAAACATGGCTTAAATTCCTTTGGAAAACATGATTCAGCTTCTTACCAAATATGAATCATGCTTTATAAATAGAGAATACAAACCATTTTATTAATTTTTACTATGGTGTAGCTATTATAAGAAAGGGCATTGGGGATGTGGCTCAGTGCCGATCGACCACTTACCTACCATGTGCACAGCCCTGGGTTCAACCCTCAGCACCAGCAAAAAAAAGTGGAGGAAGAATAGTGAACGCTGTATGTGCCCTTTGTCTTGCATGAAACCTGTTACTCCATAAGGTTGGGTTGGTGAAAGAGACCCAGAGCAGTGGAGCAGGCGTCTCCCCAAGCCCCAGAACCGGAGGGCTTGTCCCAGAACTCGTGGCCTCAAGTTTCTCAGGTGTAGATGGTGAGCCCAGTGAACTGGTGAACATTAGCCAGGTCTTTCCTGGCTAATCTGTGATGCGTGCTTCATTCTTGTAGTGATGGTCTGGCCTTACTTGTTCAGTCACTTATTTGTGTGTTGCCCTAGTCAGTTACAGTGCGTAATGGAGCAGCAAGAGCAAGTTTGAGTTCTGTGAAATCACCCCACTTCCTTTCTGTCTGAGGGAACAGGCCAGGTAGAGGCCAGGATTCTCTCTGCTGTTGTCTCTGACCATGGGGCCTAAGGTGAACTGTTGATAATCTCTTAAGGTCTCTATTGTATTAAATTCTGACATCTGTGACTTGGGAGAAAACAAAAATCAAACACACAGAAAAGAACATGAGACAAATTCTAGAGACCCAGCTTCAAAATTGAGAACTGTCTTTCTAGGCAATCTAGACAAGACACTCAGCTGCTGTGTTTCATTGTTTCTAAGATACACACTTCCACCATTTAGCATCTCTGAAATCTCAATGAATCCTAAAACCAATTCTTTTTAATTGTACAGAAAAGGTACAATTTGCAGTTGATGGTATCTTGGATATGATGAAATACAGTGTTTTATCTTCTTTAACACTCGAGGTTAACGAGTTGCCTTACTGTTGGGTCAGCAAGGCTAATTTATCCCACCTGTTGGCTGCTTCTTTGTGCCAGATGAGGCATTTTTATATTTCCTTTTCATGTGCTATCTGCCTTTATGTAGTACCTATCACTAATAAGTGTGAAGATTTTAGCTTTTGTTATAATTGTTGCTATTCTATTTAAACTTCATGAAACTCTGAGTGATAGTAGTTTCAGTTGTAACTGAAGATCTAAGGCAAAGGGGATTACATAACTTACAGTGTAGGTTAGTTTCAGCATTTCTTCTACTGCATTGTTTCACAGCTCTCTTCACTGACAGGAAAGCTCAAGTTAAATGACTCTTATCACTGTTGTTTAAGCCAGTGGTTCTGTCCAGTGATCGCTACTATACCTAATCTGTCCATACTTCTAGTAATTACTCCTGTATCTACATAGTTTAGTGGTCAGCCAGTAATTGCTCAAATTCCTCAAGTTGAGGCAGTTTTTAAGTCTTCCACAGCTTTTGTGTTCCACTGAGCCTTCTCAAGTCTCTCTTTCTCTCTCTCTTTTTTTTTTTGAGACAGGGTCTCACTGTGTAGTCCAGGCTATTGTCAAATTCATGGTGATCCTTTTATTTCAGCCTCCCAAATGCTCGGATTACATGTGTATGCCCCCATGCCTGGCCTTCTTGAGTCTCTTCTGTGCTTGCATGCCAGCTCATGGTCAGTCAGGGATATGGGGGTTTGTTTGGACCCTCTTTGGACTCTCCTGTGTGGATGCATGAGCAAGGCTCCCGATTGCTGTCTCATTCGCCAGACCTTCCTATTAAATTTGTGGCTAGTTTGCCAGTCCATTGCTTGTCCTAGCCAGAACTGTATTCTCAGCTTCCCCATCATAGGCCATTGAACTCCCTATAATTGCTAGGCTTAGGGTTTTTCTGTGCTCCATTCCGGCTTGTCCTCTTCTCTCAAATAGAACAGCTTTGCAGATCAAACTGGGGTTAGGAATAAAAGCAGCCTCAGACAAGAATGCTGTACAGTCTCCTTTTCTTAACCTGAAGTTAGTAGATTTTAATAGAATAACTGCTCCTAAAATTGACCTGTGCCTTTGTTTTTGTGGTACTGAGGATCAGACCCAGGGTGCTTTACTACTGAGCTACCTACCTTGTCTTTTTATTTTTACTTTAGAAAGGTTCTCACTAATTTGCACAGGCTGGCCTTGAGCTTGAGATCTTCCTGCCTCAGCCTTCTGACTAGCTGGAATTACAAGGCACATGCCACCAAGCCTGGCTGATATATGCCTTTGGTTGATTTCCAGAGGTTTGAGACTGTTGTTTTTAACAATGTTGTCCAGTTTCATTGTTGCTTTTTTGGAGGAAAGTTTTCTGAGCTACTCACTCTGCAGTGTAAGAAATCTCACCCCTCCTTTAGACTTATTCATAGTTACCATTTCGTTGTTCATTCATTCTTGCTGCACAGATGTTCTATCTGGGTTTACTTTTTGGGTGCATAAAGTACACTCTTTCAAATTTTCTTTAATGATCATATGCTGATGTCATATGAGTTTTCTTGTCTGAAACTGTATTTTACTCTGCTTGAGAAAAGCGTTCCACTGAGTGTAGCATTCTAAGTTGTTAATTATATCTTATTGTCAGGAAAAGGAAAGTAAAATCTCATTGCTTCCTGGCTTGTATTTGTAAGTCTTCTATGATTCCTTTGAAAATACACTTACTCATGCAGCACTTAGGACCCTGTCTTTGTTTTGGTGTTCTGTAATTCCACATTTCATTTTTATGTGTTTTGATTTCTTTCTTTTATTTGCCTTGCTTGGGACCTGCTGGAGATTTTGTAACTGTGATTTAATTTTTTTTTTTTTCTTTTTAAATCACTTTCAGATATTGCCACTTTTTCCAAATCATGTTTTTGCCTTTTCTTTTATCTGTTTTCTTCCTTTGGATTGCTTATTAAATGCATATCAGATCTTTTCACTCTGTCATGCTTGGTTTTAAACCCTTTCTCTATAATTTTCTTCTTATCACTGGGGATATAGCTCAGCAGTGTAAGCACTTGCCTGGCAAGCCTGAGGTTATGAGTTCGATTCCCGGTACAAAAACGAAAAAAAGATATAATTTTCTTCTTATGGCTCTGTGCTGCATTCTTTGTAATTACTTCCTATAGGGGAAGTTGTCTCCCTACTCCTTTTGGCAGATCTCCTGTAGACGTTCATGGCTAGGGGTTTGGGAGGACTTGGGTTTGCTTTACTCATGCACTGTGATATGTCGCCCTTTTCTGGTCCCAACTCAATGAGGAGATGGACTTTAAAATGTGGATGGGGCTTACGCTTGGGTCTTGAATTATATCTTTGTCTCCCTTGAAGATCACCAGAACCAAGGCCCTGTATTTGTATAAGTCAGTAATGGCTTCAAGGCAAAGCTTTCCAACCGCCATATAATTTCTCTATGTTCTTTTCTTCAGGATTTAAAAATACTTCGATGATGATGGTGATTATTATTATTATTTGGTACTGGGAATCAAACTCAGGACCTCTCACTTGCGAGGCAGACACTGTGCCATTGAGCTGTATCCCTGGTCCAGTGGTGATTATTATTAATTAAAAATATTTTAGCCAGCATTTTCAGTTGTTTTCAATTCTGTTGATTATAGATAAAATACTTGGATGGCAGGGATTGAGTTTTTATTCAATCCAATGTAAAAGTAATTGCATAAATGTGCTTAACTACGTTATCATGATAATATTTATTCATTTTCTTCTTCTGGATCCTCAGACATCTTTCTCTAGCTCTTTTTGTTCAGAAAAAAAAAAAAACTGGCACAAGGCTAACAGCAGTTATCCTATATGAAGAACTTTGGCTTTACTGATTAATATAATATGAAAATTGCTGGTTTAATAATAATAATTATGTTTAAATTCAGCAATGAATGCCCTAATTGTTAATAGGAGAAATGAGTGACATTAGGTGATACATTATAGTTCTTTTCTATTGAAGTTATTAAAACTCCTTAACAGTTTGACTTTTCAGAGAATTTCAACTATAAAGATGAAAAAGAATGTTCTTTTAGAAGCATAAAGCTGATCCTGTCATTCTTAACTTTAAAGCCTTTCAGCCGTCTCACATCTTGTACATAGTCAAGTGTCATCTCCTTGGCAAGGCATCAAAGACCTTCCAGCTTATTGAGTCCTGGACTCGCTTTCCAGCTTTGTGTCCTGCGTCTCCTGTCAGCAGTTGTTCTTAGTTCTCTGCCTGTGCTTTGCTATTTCACAACTCTGATCCCTGAAAGATCATGTTTCTTTTGCCTGGAATTCCTTGTTTTAATCTGGTATGATCCTACTTGTCCTTTAAGAGCCATGTTTCACAGCTTCTGATATTTTTCCTGTTCCTTCAGTTTATTATTTCTTCTAGTTATGATTATACTCTTCATGGAACAATGTAATTATTTTTATCTACTCTTTGTGTTGCTGGGATCAAACCTAGACTTTGTGCATGCTTGGGAGGTGCTCTACCATTGAGCTATGTCCCCAGCAATGTAATTATTTTAAATAAAAATTTAAACCCAACTAGAAATTGGAGGCCCTTTAGGGACATTGTTTATGTATTGGCTTTTATTAGTCATGTATTAAGTATTGAATAAATGAATGAATTACTGTGTGAAACCTTGTCAGTGAGAGATTGCAACATGTGCTCCTTTTAATGGCTATAATAAGCAAGCAGATAAATTTAGAAGTACCATTATCACCCTCTTTGTGCTAATTGGAATGTCTTTTTGGTTCATTTAAGTTTACAGTCTAATATATTTATGAGGTCTTTGGTTAGAAACAAAACTGTTTTCTACTTAATTGAAATGATTGTAAATAAGTTAAGTCTTTCTGAAGCATGTTTTTGTTTCTATCAACAGAATCCAACGTGGCGGAGTCTTGATTTTGGGATAATGCCAGATAATCTTGATACATCTGTGTCCTGCTTTGTAGTGAAGATATGGGGTGGAAAGGAGAACGTCTACCAGCTGCTGATTGAGTGGAAAGTCTGTTTGGATGGGCTGAAATATTTGGGTCAGCAGGTAATTTTTAGATTGTGATTTCAAGTGGTTGTCATCTCCAAATTAACCTGCCTAAGCTTTCTATTGATTCTGTCTGTGCATTTTCGATTATAAGGAGAGACCTTTATGATTATTTGCTTATGTTACCTATGTTTGGGCTTAAAAACACACCTTGAGCTGAAGAAACCTAAGGTGCTAATTTATTTTGTACGTGTGTGAGAGAGGATATGCTTTCTTACGTCATTCTGCTTCTTCTGTCTTGTTGAATGTTCCCCCCAAGAATCTAAAAGTTAAGTGGAAATACAGAACATACCTTTCTTTAGACCAGAGAGTCAGGTTATTCCAGGAATAAAAAGAGCTATGTTTGTTGAGCCTAGGGGTGACAAATGTCTGGTTTATATACTATCTTTTGTTGTCTGTCTTTCCTGAGTCCATATAACTGATGTAGTTCATGGATCACAGAGCTGTCCTAGCTGAGCTCAAAGGTGGCTGCATGATCCTTTCTGACAGTGTTCCAGGACACCAGCATCTACGAGAATTGTATATGAAATGAAACCTATATGCCATCTCAAGATATAGGTTATTGTAATTAATGTTCATAGCAGTCTTGGTGAAGGTTGATGTTATTGCCCTTATTTTCCATAAAGGACAATTGAGCCTTATTTGGTTTAAGAATGTGCTCAAGATCACACAGTTGGGTTGGGTCAGGATTTAAACCCTAGCATGGCTGACTTAAATCTTTCTGTTTGTGTTGTGCCACACTGGCATGTACATGTGGTCTTTGGTAACCCTCCAGTCCACCTTAGAGTGAATGCTATTTCTATTTTGTGATACCCATGGTACTGTTCCTACAGGTAACCTATAAATGTTAGTCATAGATTATTTACAAATATCATTGATATTTTTCTATTATTTATTTAATACACACATTCTGTTTTTGTTTTTAAAGGAATAATTTAATTTTTTTCAGATTAAAAGAAATCTCTGCCCTCATTTTACTTATCATGTTTTAATTTTTTTCCTTTTAGATAAGGCCCCATTTTGCAGTCCAGGCTGTCTTGTAATTTGTGATTGTCCTGCCTCAGTCTCCGTCATGCTAGGATTATAGGCATATGTCACCACACCTGGTGTATTTTAATTTTTTAAATATTAATTTTTTTCCATTGTTGGGGATTTTGCACGTGCTAGTTGTTATGGTTTGTGTCTGGATGTCCCCCCAAAGCCTCATGTAGTCATGGGACGGGCTTCTAGAGTTTATGATGGATTCATGGTCCAATGTTGGGATTATGGGTGTGAGTGCTATACCCGCCCCCGGGGCAGGTAATTTGCATACAGTGTGAGGGAGAGAAAGAGGCTGCTTGCTGCCTCTCCCACCTTTTTTGCTGTTGCTGCTTTTGCTGTTTTCTGCTGCCATGAACTGTTGCCCTCCCATCATGTGCCACCCTGCCTTGGAGCCAGCTGATTATAGTCTGAAACCTCCATAAACTGCAAGCTAAATAAACTTTTCCTTCCTTAATTTTGGGCAGTGGGTATTTTGGCTCAGCAATGAGAGAAGAGTAAGTAGGTAAGACACTAGGTAATCACTCTACCACTGAGCTATACCCCCAGCCCTATAGTAGATCTCTTGAACTTTCTAACTGAAATTTTATATCTTTTGACCAACATTTCCCCTCACCGTAGCCCATTAATCACCATTCTGCTCTCTACTTCCAAATACAGCTTTTAAAAATTACATATTCAAATGAAGTCATATTTTTATCTTGCCTTTTTGTAGTGACCAGAGCAATACATTGCATATTTATGTTTCTTCCTTCACTAAACTCTAATCAACTATAATTTTTAAATTGTTTTTAATTTTTTTCTTGTTTTAGGGCTGGTTTTAAAAAATTGGGTGAGGGACTGGTGACTGGTGCTGGTGAACTGAACCAGGGCCTTCTGTCTACTAAGCATATATTTTACCACTGAGCTAGGGCTGGTCTTAATTAAAATTTGAAAGATATTGTGATGACATTTAGTTTAGGGCCTTTCTCTTCTTTCTTGGTACGAGACACTTGTTGCCTTCAGACTGCTTAATTAGACTGTGGCACTGAGGCCCATATCCTGATTATCTTCCCATTTGCTCCCTGTGGATAGACTATGAAATTTAATATTTATCTTTAGCCTAAAAGCATGTACATTTCCTGAAAGATGGTGCTTCTTAACATTGTGGCCACAGGGCTGTAGGCCTGTGGATAGCTTTCACCATATTATGCAAGTTACACATTCTTTAGGTGGCGGACTTCTATGCTTACATCTAAGTTGCCCTAATTTCAGAGAGTCAGAGTTCAGATATCTTGTTAGGCAGTTGACTATGGAAGGAAGCATACTAGCATACAGAGAACCAAAGAAGGAAAAAGCTTTGCTTTTTAAGCAACTAGAAACTTAGCATCATTATAGAAAGTCAAATTTTTATCTATGAAATAAGTGTAACAACATACTACTAAAAATCAGATAAAATAGAATCATCAATTTTTGGAGGAAAGTGAGACTAAGCTATATTAGTATAAGGGCCAGAATTAGTTAAATTCATTAACTGATCATATGCTTTCTATCAGACATTGTTCTTGATGTTAGGCATCCAGAGATGTGGAAGACAGGAATTTTAGACCCAGGAAACTTGATTATTGAATATCTTCATAGAAAGCGTGCGAGTACGTGGAGGAAGCATTTAGACCAGCCTGGTTAAACCCAGGGAAATATGACTTCAGAATGAAATTTTTTTTTATTGTGGTATAGTGTACGTACAGTAAACTCCGTCTTTTAAAGAGTGCAGTTCAGTGAATTTGATAAATATGTAGAGTTGAATAAATACCACCATCTCTGCCATAATGAATAAACTATTTAAATATAGTTGTTTGCATTGACACCTGTTGTCATTTCTTCTGGGTAAATATCCAGGAATGGATTTGCTAAGTCAGCTGGTAAGCATATACTGAAATTCAAATGGTTTTCCAAAGTAAGTGTAACATTTTGCATTTATATCAGTAATGTATAATAGTTCCTTTGTTGTATGACTTTGCTAACACTTTTTATTGTTGGTCATTTTAATTTTGGCTATTTTGATGGCCTTGAAGTAGTATCTCATTGTGGGCTCTTTTTTTGCTTCTTTGTTTTTTGAGACAGTCTCCCTATGTAGTCCAGGGCCGCCTTCAACATGCTAAGTAGCCCAAGCTGGCTCGCAATATTCCTGCCTCAGCCTCCTGAGTACTGGGATCACAGGCGTGCATTACCATATCCGGCTCGTTCTTGTTTTCCCTAATAGCACAAGGATGTTGAACACCCTCTCCTCCCTTCTAAAAAAGTTGTGATTTCCCTCCCTTGTATATGTGTGTAAGTGTGTAGTGGTTGTTCAGATCCTTTGCCCATTTTTATATTGTGCTGTTTGAATTCTTACTGAGTTGTAAAGGTTCTTTATGTGCTCTAGATACGTCAGCCCTCTATAGGGTATACATTTTCTAAGTATTTTCTCTCAGTCTTTGCATTTTTTTAGCAGCGCCATTCAAAGAACTTGTGTTTATAAATATTGGTGAAGTTTATTATCAGTTTTTTCTTTTGTATTCATGCTTTTCGTGTATTGTTTCAGATATTTTTGCTCAACCCAAGCCCAGTAATGGTTTTTAAAGTTTTTAGAAGTTTTCTTCTATATGTTTTAATAGTTTTTGGATATATATGTATGTATGTATATTAATTATTTTCCAGATGGATAAAATTGTTTCTATATTCTGTTGTAAAAGCTATTATTTCTGTATTGAATTACTTTGTTATCTTTGTTGAAAATCAGTTGTTAAAGGTTACTTGTGTGGGTCTTTTCCTGGATTCTTTAGTTTTGATCTGCTTGTCTGTCTTGAAGTAATACCAAATTGTTTTGATTAATGTAACTTTATAGTGTGCCTTGAATTCAGATAATATGAATCCTCCAGCTTTTTTTCCCCGTAGAATTATTCTGGTTATTCAGGATATGTGTCAGGTGAAAATTTAGTTAATTAATTATTAAAAAAAATATTTTTGGTCTTTTTGAGACAGGATCTCACAGTGTAGTTTAAGGTGGCCTTGAATTCACTTTGTAGCCCTGAATGTCCTCAAACATGCAGCAATCTTCCTGCCTCAGCTTCCTAATTGCTGGGATTATGGGCATGCACCACCATGCCCAGTTGAACATCTAATTTAAAAAAATAAAAATAAAAGCAAAATTCTTCTGACTGTTTTAGGTTTTTTGCATATATACCTTAGGATCAGTTTATTAATTTCTATAAAAATCTTGTTGAGATTTTGAAAAAAATTAGTACATGTCTGCAGTACATCATGTCTACATGCATCTTGGAGGAGTTTGTACATGTGCATAACGCATCATAATTCTTTTCTGTCCCCTTCCTCTCCCCACCCTCCATGCCTCTGCCAATTCTGTTTCCCATTCTCGTTTGCAAAAGCTCTATTTTTATTTTTTCTTCAATTTTATTTTCTAGCCCTCCGCCCCCCCATTCTATCTCTTATTCCCCTTCCTATTTGAAAAAGATCTGTGTTTCTACTTCCTATTATCTATCTTTAATTTTGCTTTTATTTATATTTTGGATTTCTCATATAAGAGAAACCATGTGATATTGAAATTTGTGTCTGACTTATTTAACTTAACATTATGGTCTCAAGGTACATCCATTTACCTATAAATGCCTCTGTTTTATCATTTTTTATGACACAGTAGTACTCCATTGCATATAAATACATTTTCTTTATTCAGCTATCCTTTTATGAGCATATAGCCTGCTTCTAAGATTTAGTTATTATAAATTGTGCTGTTAGGTTTATATCTATGGATTCCATATTTTTTATGCTAATTTAAGTGTATTCCTTTTAAATGTGACTATTTCTAGTATTTGTTGCTAATATAAAGAAATATGTTTCTGTATTGAGCTTATATTCTCTGATCTTATTAAATTTATAGATCTGGTTCCTCTGTCTTTGTCTCTTTCTGTGTCTGTCTGTCC